TCATTTCCCCTTCCCTTGTAAATAAACCTTTTATTAACCTTTCGGGTGCGCCTGCAGTAGAGCATTGATAAGTCCTTTTAAGCGCGCGGGTGAGGACCCACAGTCAGGCACCCCGTTTTGTATCGGGGCTGCCCTATAACAGTATGATCACTGAAAACACTCAGACCCAGGCCCCAAAAGACAGGGTTTCTGATCAAGCAGGTTATTTCACCACTGAGTCAACCAATGAAGATTCAGTTTAAGTATTCTGAAAAATGGGGTCATCACGGACCTTTAAATGTCCAAGTGTATTGTTCTGACTGTGGCTTTCGAGCCTACAGAGAGCCATTTGTGTGTTAAATAAGAGGACACTCGTTATGAGGCCAGTTTACTGGCCAACCTAGAAGAGATCTCTCTTTTGCATGATCTTGCATAAGTTTGGGATTTCTCACTGGAATTGAAATATTTTGTTATGTGCAAAATAAAAATATGTTGTCCTGTCTTCCTTACCGGAATCAATGAGGGCACCTCAAACAGTAAAATGTGCTCTACAAATGTTTGTTTATTCTGACATTCATTCAGTGGCTGTTTCTTGAGCACCTGCTGTGTGTTGCTGGCACTAGGGACACAGCATTGTCAAGGACCTTGGTCCAGTCCTCCTGGCACTTTGCGGCTGTGTAGTTTCACATTATGTGGGCTCCCTTTGCCTGGTGTTTTCTCCATAGGTTTCTTAGGTTATAGCTACTGGTGTGGATGTTGCTTTCCCCAAAGCCAGCTCTGTGATCTGTTTGTGCAAATGTCTTCTACCATCTCTAACTCGGGTTGCAGGGGCAGATTCTCCCCGGGGAATCTAAGTGAGGAATGTGCCAGTGGCTAGAGTCCAGGGCTCTTAAACCGACTTGTTTTTGATACTCAAGAATTCCTCATTTTGTTCCTAATAGGCCACACGTTAGCATTTTGGGGAGTCAACTATACCTCAGTGCTCTGTAATCCAGCTGCTTGCTGGACAAGGTTGTCTGTCCCGGTGCCCTGTGGTCCTGTGCCCAGTGGAGCTGCTCCCTCACTGGCACTCTCTGGGATGTTTTCAAGACCCTGACATTCTCAGGCCCCTTTAATGAAGGACTAGCCTCTGGGTGGTGATGATGGGATGTGCTGAGGGGTTTTTTCCTTTCCCTTTTCCCTTTATTTTTCTAATTGATCAGGCTAGAGCAAGGGAAGTAGTCTGAGCAATCTATTGCCCTGCAATGAGATTTGTAATTTCTTTTTAATGCCTATTTAAAAAAAAATAATGTTGACGGTTTCCCCCCTGGTTTTAACTAATACTTGCTTGATGTAGGGACTTGTTTTTTAGAGTGAGGTTAACTGTGCCATATGACATCAACCCATGCCTTCAATTAATATCTTGCTCTGGGCAATTCAGACCGTATTAGCTCTGGTTCAACACTCACTGGAAGACCTAAATGTTAGTAATCGATACTAACGAGACATCCATGTTATTCAAAAATGGGTTTAGTGTTACCTGCTTCCTAGCAAGGGTCATGCCCCTTCTCACGCTCAACTAGCAATTTATTTACTCAGCAAGTGCTCAGCGAGTCTAATCATTTGTACATTGTTGTATCTGTAAAGAAAATATGATAAAAACTTTACCCGTAATTTATGGCAGATCCACGAGAGAGACATTTCATGTAGAGCGAGAGATGGATGTGAATGGAAAGTTTGGGGAAAAGGTAGATCTTGGAAGGAAAAGAGATAGCTTTCAGGGAGAAAGCTGACATGCATGCCGCATCTTGGGGGGGGAGGTCCTCTCACAAATGGCTCAGGGCTTCTCCATAACAGAGCAAGTTGGGACAGACCAAAAGTGAATGCTGGTGCTTCAGGTACCCAAAAGGAAGGCGGTGACAGAGATCAAAGATCAGAACCTGATGGCCCTGGATATAAAACCTGCAGGTTTCTATGAAATCGGGTCCGTTGGAAAGTTAGTGAAGTATCTTTGAACAGGAGAGTGAAAAGATCTTTTTGGGCATCAGTGGACAACGGAGAGAGCTGAGAGACAGAAGCCGGCAGCTCTTCACTCTGAGACCCAGGCCAGAGGGAGCAGAGGGTTCACCCACCCATAGGGCGGAATGAAAGTGCACAACTGCATAGCCAGGAAAGGAAGCTCAGGAAGGCAGACTAGCGACTGAGATGGAGTCCTGTCACAGACTCCTCACAAATGCTCACCAACGCCAAGGACTACAGAGGCAGTTAGTGACAGACAGCTGGGGAGGGCTCGTGGCTAGAGAAGCAGGGTTTGCCACATAAAACCTACCTTGTTTTCATGGAAGGACATCACCTTGCTTCTCCCCATCTCAAGAGTACCTGCCTCTCCTCTAGGGCTCCTAACAGTGTCTGATGAGACAAGCTTTCCTCAACACACCTGCCTCTTTTGGTCAGCCCATGTTGTCGAGCCAGGCTGTGTCTTGACCTCAGTGAAAAGAAGTGGAGCTCACTTTATGAAAGCACACTTTCTTTCTGGCCAGGGATCGTGGTCAGAGAAAGGGAGTGGTCCAAGGGTTTCTATGGGACAACCAACGCCTGACAACAGCTGGGGACAGAGTGAGAAGGCCTGGCTCCAGCTCAGGGCGAGAGTGGGCTGAGGCCAGGAGAGACGGGCAGACAAGGAGGGCTCAGAGCCACGGAACCTGCCGAGGAGAGTGAATTGGCCCAAAGCCAGGATGGGGAGGGGTGGAGATGGGAGTGGAGGAGGGTGTAACTTGGAAAGGTTTACATTCCTAATCCCTAGTAAACGTTAGCTTTTTCCTGAGTTGACTGTATGTAGGTCCTGCTTATAAAATGTGATCACAGTTTCCTTATTACACATAATTGCAGGGGATCAAGGTCTGTTGTTCTTTATTTTCCTTTCTTTCATTCTGTTGTTTCCTATCTTTGTTCCAGACTTCGAACACACATTGCCTTTGGGAGAAAAATCTCTTTCTAAAGTCACCTCTTCAGTCTTTGGTTTGTGGGGGTCATTCTTGCACCATTCTCAATAATGGATAATTTTTCATTCTTTCCTCTTCAGTTCAAGTTTAAAAGACCTAGGAACATGTCTTTGCTGGTCCTGTTCTAGTGACAGGGATATTAAGGCATTGAAATTTCCCTGACACAGAGTAAAGCACTTTTTGGCTAGAGGGCCTCCCCGGTGGTGCAGCGGTTGAGCACTGGGTTGCGAAGCTGCCCGCAGCATCTGCAGTGCAGGTTCAATCCCCAGCTGCTCCCAGGCCACTGAAGGAGGGTCCCACTTGGCGCGCAGACCTCTCCTGCCGCCCGCTGCTCCCCTCAGCAGTGTACTTCGGTCCTTCTGCCTGCTCTGCTCTCAGCTCTGGCTCTGGTGAATTCTCTCGCCCTCCCACGCTTCTGACTGTACCCAGTGCTTGTATAAATAAATAAAAATAAATCTTAAAAAAAAAAGCGCTTTTTGGCTACAAAGGAGAGATGACCCTCCCTGGATCCTCTGGGAATACGTTGTTGTGATGAGTGGAAGAGAACGTTCTCGGTGCCACTGCCATCCAAGATTTGGCTTGGGTCATCCACATTTCCCAGAAGCTTTGGGGGACTTCCAAGGGAAGCCCATGAGCCAGCAACACTCTATTCTACCCTTTCAGGAAGCCAGCTATAAACTCTAGGAGTCACATCGGTAGCTGCCCAATTCCTCCTCTAAAATCCACTCCCTAGACTCTGTGGAGTTGTGGATATAGTGGCTTACTACCACTGTGAATGGAGACTTTCTGAGGCACAGATGGCAAAGGTATACATATCCATATTCGGATTCTTCTGGGGTTTAGCTTCCATGTATGATCACAGATGAACATAAAGATGATTACTGAAGTTTTTGAAATGGCAAAAGACTGGAAACAACTCAATCAATGAGGAACTGGCTAAATAAATTGTGGTACGTCCATAAATAAAATTCTATTCTGTGAAGAACTTGCTATTTTTTGTGTGTTATAAAGGAAAAATTAAGGTGACATCCATGTGAATTTTGTACAGTTATAAAGTAACTAAAAGGAAACAAAAAATAATAAACCTAGTTGCTAGGTGGGGTAAAGCGAAAATGGACAGATGGACAAGAAGCAGACTTTGCACTGTATGGTAATGACAAAACACCAGCTCATACTAGCTGTTAATTAACAGAAATGACTGATTTAGCAGCTGGTAAAATTCTTAGGTGTTTTCCCCCTAGGAAATACTGTGACTCCTTTTATTTTATTTATGTATTTTTTTTTTAAGATTTATTTATTTATTTATACATACAAGCACTGGGTACAGTCAGAAGCGCGGGAGGGTGAGAGAATTCACCAGAGCCAGAGCGGGGAGCAGAGCAGGCAGAAGGACCGAAGTACACTGCTGAGGGGAGCAGCGGGCGGCAGGAGAGGTCTGCGCGCCATGTGGGACCCTCCTCCGGTGGCCGGGGAGCAGCCGGGGATCGAACCGGCGCCGCAGAGGCCGCGGGCAGCTTCGCAACCCAGCGCTCAACCGCTGCGCCACCGGGGAGGCCCTATTTATGTATTTTTTTAAAGATTTATTTATGCATAGGGGTACTGGGGTATAGGCCAGAGATGTGGGCGGGGGTGAGAGGATTCACCAGAGACATAGTGGGGAGCAGAGCAGGCAGATATACTGAAATACACTGCCGAGGGGAGCAGCAGGCAAGACAGGAGAGATGTCTGCATCACCTGTGGGTCACCTCCCTGGCAGGGGATAGAACTCAGGCCACAGTGGTGATAATGATGATGATGATCCTTAACCCCTAGGCCACGAAGGAGGTCCTACAGGACTTATTGACTAACTGCAAGGGACAGGAATTGACACAGAAGGATCTGAGTAACTGGCTGCAAGAGGCTTCCAGCATTCTGCCTTGCTCCTTGGTGGGATTTAGGAAGGAGGGTATTTTCTAGAGAAAGGAGGTGAAAAGCAGGTACCGAAAGGGCAGCCTAACACAGCCCCTCTGACTGTTCCTTCAAGGTCTTCCAACTCGGAAAGATGACATTGTTAAAAAAGATGAAGCTGCTGCTGTTTCTGGTTTCCCAGATGGCCATCTTTACTTTCTTCATCTTCCTGTACCCCCACAACATCAACCCCCCGCCCACTGAGGAGGCGCCCAAGCCCATGCACGTGCTGGTTTTGTCTTCATGGCGCTCGGGCTCTTCTTTTGTGGGGCAGCTGTTTGGGCAGCATCCGGATGTCTTCTACCTGATGGAGCCCGCGTGGCATGTGTGGATGAACTTCGGGCATAGCAGCGCCTCCACGCTGCACATGGCGGTGCGGGATCTGATACGCGCAGTCTTCCTGTGTGACATGAGTGTCTTTGACGCCTACATGAGTCCTGGGCCCCGCCTGCAGTCCAGCCTCTTTCAGTGGGAAGCCAGCAGGGCCCTGTGCTCCCCACCCGCCTGCAATGTCTTCCAGCGCGATGAGATCATACCCCAGACTCACTGCAAGCTGGTGTGCAGCAAGCAGCCCTTCGAGGTGGTGGAGAAGGCCTGCCGCACCTACAGCCACGTGGTGCTCAAGGAGGTGCGCGTCTTCAACCTGCAGGTGCTCTACCCGCTGCTGAGAGACCCCTCTCTCAATCTGCACATCGTGCACCTGGTGCGCGACCCCCGGGCGGTGTTCAGGTCCCGGGAACGCACCACGCACGAACTCTCGATCGACAGCAACATTGTGATGGGGCCGCAGGGGAAGAAAGTCAGCAAGGAGGACCAACCCTACAAAGTGATGCAGGTCATCTGCGAGAGCCAGCTGGAGATCTACAAGGCCATGCAGGCCCTGCCCAAAGCCCTGCGGCAGCGCTACCTCCTCATGCGCTATGAGGACCTGGTCCGGGATCCCCTGCCTCAGACCGCGCGAATGTATGAGTTCGCAGGATTGAAATTTTTACCCCGGCTGCAGACCTGGGTGCACAACATCACTCAAGGCAAGGGCATGGGGAACCATCCCTTTCACACAAACACCAGGAATGCCCGCAATGTCTCCCAGGCCTGGCGGTGGTCCTTGCCTCATGAAAATGTTTCTCGAATTCAAGAACTCTGTGGCCATACTATGAATTTGCTGGGCTACCACCTAGTCAAGTCTAAACAAGAACAGAAAAATCTGTCACTGGATCTTCTGTCAACTTGGACCCCCTCCAAGCAAGACTACCAGGAGGGCTGAGGACGCTCTCTCCCCAGCTGGCACCAGCCTCTGCCACATAACTGAGGCTTCTGGGCCTTACGCCTTTGTTGTCGCACACGTGAGCATGAGTTGTGTGCCCTAGCCAAGAAATCATGTGTCTCTACTCGTGTCTAGGAAAGAGACTCAGGAACCTTCCGTGAGTGGCACATTCCAGCAGTGGAGCAGGAGCAATGCCTTGGCCTTCCTTCTGTGTATACTTCAGAGATTTGAGGGCTGGGAGTCTGTCAGGAACCACACTGACAGTATAGTAAGTCCATGAATGTCTCTGTCCATATCTTGCTCTGTGGGAAAGGGGAGAGGACAGGGGACAGGGAAAGCCAGGAAAATGGTTCTTCCACCAAAGTGCTCTCAAGCATAGTCCACAGAAATGTGAACTCTGAAACCTGGTGGACTCAAAAAGGGAATGGAGAACAAAGTTGGATTTTGCTGGAGGGTTTGCCATCACAGCTACTGATTATCACAAATGTAAGATCCGGGCCTCCCTGGTGGCTCAAGGGGTTAAGCCTCAGCACTATGAAGCTATTGGTAGCCACTGCAGCACGAGTTTGATTCCCGCCCAGGGAGCTGACCACATGGTGCTGCAGACCTCTCCTGTCTCACCTGCTGCTTCCCTCAGCCGTGTATTTCAGTAGATCCACCTGTTCTGTTCCCCACTCTGTCTCTGGTGAATCCTCTCACCCCCCGAACCCCTGGTCTACACCCCAGCTCTTGTATGCATAAATAAATAAATCTTTAAAAATATATATATAAGATGTCTGCACAACAGTTCACAGAGTGGCTACACCCAATCTATCTGTCATTTCCTCCCAAGTGTTTTCCCATCACATAGAAGATTTTGACCTGGGAAGCTGCCTTTCATTAACACTAAAAACCCAAAATAAGACTGCTTGGAGGGCCTCCCCGGTGGCGCAGCAGTTGAGCACTGGGTTGCGAAGCTACCCGCGGCCTCTGCAGCGCTGGTTCGATCCCCGGCTGCTCCCCGGCCACCAGAGGTGGGTCCCGCATGGCGCGCAGACCCCTCCTGCCGCCCACTGCTCCCCTCAGCAGTGCTTTCAGTCTGTCTGCCTGCTCTGCTCCCCGCTCTGGCTCTGGTGAATTCTCTCACCCTCCTGTGCTTCTGACTGTACCCAGTGCTTGTATAAATAAATTAAATATAAAATAAATAAATAAATAAATCTTTAAAAACAAAAAAAAAAAAAAAGACTGCTTGGAATATCCCCTTTTATGCTTTCTAATTACCTAGTAGAAAATACTTATTCTTATGGGATCCTAGTTTAAGAGCATGATCATCTCTATAGATTTTTTTCAATCCTTTTGCCATTATCTATAAATCATCATATGCGACACATAAAATATTGCTAAGAATGTTTGGTATCAGGTGATAAACTAAGTGTAAACTGATAAATTGATACACTGAGCACTTGAGAACTGGCAGAAAGTAGACAGTCAGTAATTAATTCCTCTCTTTCAGTCAACCAAAGGGCAGGTAGCACAGCAGTACCCACTGCATGTTGCGGCGGGCAGGACTATGGAACATGCTTAGCAAGCATCTAGCAAGCAAGCAAGCGTTCACGAAATGCTGTCTGTAAATATCTGAGTAAAAACACTCTCCAGGCCTGTGTAATATCATTTCTGGTAACCTCCTCACTGAGGTCATGCCTAACAGCAGATCACGAGCCCTTTCTGGCCTTTCTGGCCATACCGATAGGATTAGGAAATAGCTGGGTTTCTGATGTTCTCGTTTCTCTACATCAGTGGTTGCCAATTGAGGTGATTTTGCCTCCCTGGGGAAATCTGGCAGTGTCTGGAGACATTTTTGGCCATCCCAGCTTGGAGGGAAGGTGCTCCTGGCATCTAGTGGGGAGGGAACAGAGATGCTGCCAAGCTTCAGTGCACAGGAGAGCACCGCCTCCCCACGGCGGCGTCGCTGGTGACCATGTAAAGGATGAATAGTCAATGACTGGAATAGATTTCTCTTTCATTCCATTCAGTCACGCGCACTATCACTCACAGGGCACCACCTGTCCAGGGGTGCTGACTGGGGATGAAGGGACTGGGGCTCTCTGGGCACTTGTTCAAGCGAGCTCCAGGGGAGCAGTGGCATGGACATTACGAAAGTGCACAGCAGCATCACCAGAGTTTGCTAAGAGGACAGTCTGCTCTACCTGTTCTCGGCATACATCCCCCTAATTCAGTTAGCCTTGGCCAGGAGAGAAGAACTTACAGAGACAAAACATGATCATTTAGGTGCTCCGGGAAGGTGACTCTGACAAAGCCAGAAGCAGACACTGTGCCAGACAAATGTGTTGTCTGAAGAGAATGAAAAAGTTCCAGAGGCACCCTAGGATTTCCACCAGCACTCTGCAACCTTCTTTTCATTATTATCCGCCCCCTCCCAACTTCTACAAATCTTTTCAGACTGCCCCCCTTCACCCCTCACCATGAAATGCTAATACCACAAATATACCGCACAGCTGTTTGTGCTGTGGCTTGTGGTGGCCCACAGACCACTGATATCTCAATTGTTTTGCTCCCAAAGAACCACTTTTTACACCTTGGTGGTAACACCACCTCCACTGAGAGTCGTGAAGTAGAACACAGTCCCTAGTATTTTTTTTTTTTTAGGTCTTTTCTTTTCCCAGCTTCGATCATTTTTCCTCAGCATATCTTTGCATTTGTTATATCCCCAAACAATGTCCCCCGCAAAAGATGTGCCAGCTCTCACCACTGATAACTGTACCTTGCCCAACAATACTTAAATGTGATCATGTAAAACAACACATGAGTACAATTTGTAAAGGTCTATGGAAATATCAGTTATTCGTAGTAAAATAGTAAATACAAGTAGCTCTGATTAATGCCCTTCCTGCTGGCCCTACTCCTAATTTGGGATGGTCACTAACCCTGATTTCCTTGCTGACTTTCAAGATGGTGTCTTATAGTCCTGGAAGGACAAGGAAGCTAGTTTATTGTTTGTTTTCTCAGTTTATGATAAGAATTGATTAAAAAGAAAAGAGTGGGCTAGGTACATGGAATTACTGTTTATAAAGAATGCGGTACGTTTTGAAAAAAGGTAGTTGCTGAACCACCTCAACCCAATGTGGATTTAAATGACTACAGATGATGTTGGATAAAGAGGAATAAAGATGCCTGTTCCTTTATGGAAGGGTAAGGTGAGTGGAGGGAACTCTTGATGGTCTGACCATCATGGACCAAATCATAAGACCTTACAGATGCAGCCCACACAACACACAAACACACACCACATTCTGGGTACAAGTAAACTTGAAAAAGTTGACTGTACAATTGTAACTGGATTTTTAAAATATAAGCTCCTCAGAAATCACATGCATCTTAAAATAGGAACAGACCATCTAGCAGTTTCCCCAAGCTTCTTTGACCAAGGACATTTTCCCTCAATATACCTATTAACATCCATTAGGAGAACATTTTGAGAAAAAGCAGTTTGAGAAATGCTGAATTATCTTCAGCAATCAAATCCTGGATGGTTCCAGCACTCTGCTTTCTCCTGACCTCTTCTCCCAAGTCCAAGCAGGCAGATGTTGAGTGGAGAAAATCACATGAGGGCAACTTGGTTCATGGGGAATTTAAGATCACCTATGTTCACTTACAATCCCTTCAATATTTTTCCTCTCTCCACCAGAACTCACCCCTATCATCTCCTGGCCACATGCCGCCTCTATCTCAAGAAAAGTAGCACCATTAGATGTGGACTTTTCAACTCCTCTAAGCCAAACACCCTAACCTCCCTTAGCATCCAATCTGCTTTCTTATACTGTGTTACGATACAGATGTTTAATACCAGTCCCTTCATCAGAGCTTTGGATTCCATCACCTCATCTTCTCGAAACTAGATGTTGTCATTAGTCACATTTTTATGAACTTACTTCTTCCATTGAATCCCCCTTGTTGGCTTTTTAACTTAGTCAATTCTCTCCATTTTTGAAAAACTCCCCCCTCACTCCCACACCCTCCCCAACTGCTGGTCTCTTTCGCAGCCAAGCTGTTCTAAAGAGGTGTCTATAGTCATGGGCTTTGTCTTACCACTTTTTACTTTCTCCTCCACCCACTCCCTCTGACCTGAATTGGGCTCCTTCTCTAAACAGTGCTAGTTAACAACAAAAGTTAAATTCCATGCTCCACACTCACTAATTCCAATAGGCATTTTCCAATTCTCATTTCGCCTGAGCCTCAGTACCATTCACTGTATGGCGCGCTCCCTCTTCCTTAAGAGCTTGTACCCTGGTTTTCCTCCTATGTCTATGGCCGCTTCTCAGGTTTTTGTTGTAGAAGCATTCTCTTCTACCAAGCTATTAAATGTTGGGGTTACTTTAGGCCCAGCATAGATGCTCTACTTTCCTCACTGAATGCTTTCTCTCTCCAGGCTATTTTATCCATGCCCAAGTGCCTCTCTCTAGCCCAGTTCTCTCCAACCGCCAGTCCTGGAAATCCAACCAACCAAGTGGCCACATCTTGAATATCTCAAAAGATATCTCAGATCCAACATGTCCAAACACTGCATTCATGATCTCCAACCATCTTCATCCCTCCTTGGTCTCTTTCTCACCTTTTCAACCTGTGACCAAATCAAAAACCTGGACTTCGCCCTTGACTTCTTCCACAAATCAGTCGCCAACCAAAGCTGATCCGACCTCACCCACAGTTCTTAAGTTCCTGGGCTTCTCCTCTTTCCCCTCTGGTCCCTCCTGTCTTTGTTCATGCCATGACCATCTCCATACCGAACCACTGACTAGTCTTCCTATCTCCAAACTGCCCACTTCAACCCAGTATCTACATTCTATTGAACATCCAGAAAGCCTAAATTTCTTATTATACTTTATAAAGTCTTTCACGATCTGGCCCTTGAATCCCTCTCTGATCTAGCCTCTACTTTCCCCCATGTTAAGTTCTACCAGTGCACCACATGTACTTCCGGAGGGCAGATAATGCCATTTCCCCCACCCAGAAAACCTTACTCTGTCCAGTTCCCAACTTCTCTGGCTCATCTTTCGGTCCTAGTAGAAAAGCTCCTCTAGGAGTTTTTCTTGGCTTGACCATGACCATGAAGCTTCTGTTGAGTTCCACTTGTTCAGGCTTCCTTCATCACAGTATTTATCCCACTATGTAAATCCATCCAATTTATGTGCTCCTGGAATTCTTTGAAGGCAGAGATTCTCTTATCCAATGTGGTACAACCAATGCCCAGCACAGTTCTGGCACAGAGTAGGCAATCAATATTTTAGTGCATGAATCCTAGACGCATCTACATAACAGGTAAAAGGCTCATGCTTTATGTCATACTTAGAAAAAAGGTTAATCACAGACCTTCTGTTCAGAGAAATGGTAACATGTTTACAGATTTAGATAAGAACAAACCAACATTTTAAAGTTTCCTGTTTGAGAGAAATAAGGGAAATTGAATCTTAAAACCCCAACAGCTGAGAAGTGTTGGGTCAAGTGGGGTGGCAGGTGGTGGGGTATGATAAAGCAGAGATTCAAAAATTCAGTTGACCTGTATTTCTAATAGTGATACTACTATAGCAAGAGATGCTACAAATTATGCTGGCTTTCTGAAGAGCTGGGTGTGGCACATGAACTAATAATCAATTGCCACCCAGAAGTAATTGGCAAATTCTTGTTCATTGATAGTTACACATTTAGTGTTTAGCCAAATCTTCAAGCAGAAATTTTCTGGTTTATTTTTATTGCCTTTCCACCCTTGCAGTGGCAAACTATAGCTAAAGGAATGGCTTGAGGAAATAGAGTCATCTTTGAATCTTTTTTTTTTTCTGTCATCTTCCATGTCTATCTATCAGCAAATCCTACCAACTCAACTTCCAAAATAAACCTTGACTCACACCACCTCTCACCATCTCCACTGCTACTGTGTTCATCCAAGCCAAACTGAAATCTCCCCTGAAGTGCTACTAGAGCCTCCTAACTGGTCTCTTGTCTCCTTGCCCTGACCTCATAGTCCATCTTACCCCTACTAGCCAGAATGACCTATCTGAAAATAAATTAGGTGTCAACTCTCTGCCTAAAGTCCTCCAATAAAAAGCCCAGGTAAATTGGAGAATGGATTTAGATATTTATATCATGCCATTAAAAGGAAGAAACTAAGGATACCTGTAATATGAGGCTTTGCAAAAACATTAAGTTAAAGAAGTTTATATGAAAGAGTTAATATGGTGAGATTCTTTTATATACAGTTTTAGAGTAGGAAAAACTAAAATATGGTAAGGAAAAATCCTAACAGAGGTTTCTTTGGGGGGGTAGGGAGTGGTGGTGATTGGCTGGGAAGAGATTTGATTATACTTGTGGGGTGACAGGAATGTTCAGATCTTCATAGGGGACAAGATTACATGGGTGCATGAATTTGTCAAAATTTAATGAATGACTGTACACTTAGGGTTTAGGGGCTTCACTGCATGTAAATTTTATCTCAAAAGGAAAAAAATTACAAACAAATATTGAATTCTGGTTAATGATACACAAGCAGGAGAATTTAAAAATTACTGATATCTAAAAGTTACTTAGCAATGTGTTCAAATGTAAAGCAGACAGGTGGACAGATAAATGACAAACTGAGGGCAAGATTAGCAAGAGTTAAGGAATGTTCCCTGTTGTCCAGGATCACCACACATTAGTCACCTTCTGCCCTTGCTCATAACCTCAACCTAGATAAGAATCTTGTATATGACACACTTTCAAGCTTCCCTGAAGGTATGTTTTGCACAGATAAATCCCTCCTCCCTCCAGTGGAGACCAGCACCAGGAACAAAGACATTCCTGCAGAGCCCCTCCTCCTAAGCTAAACAATTTACCTTGCTGTCCCCTGGAGAGAGAGACAGTGTCTTTAGAAACACCAGTTTCATTGTCTCCTTTTGTTGTCACAGGGAAATAAATCCTTGTCCTTTCTGCACCCCCTTTTGGCTGTGTCTTTAATTCGGCCCAGATACCCACCAAGAGAACAGACCTATGGAGTTCCCTTATGGGACAACTATAACGAAATGTTAATGGTAGAATCTTGGCAAAAATAAAGGTATTCACTGTGACGATCTTTCAACTTTGCTATTTAAAGTTTCTCATACGAAAATAATGAGAATAATCAAAACTTCTGGGGGGAGCCACAACTTCTGGAATGGCAGTGAGGAGCTCTGATGCTCGCCCCACTGAAACAGACATTTAACTAGTGAAAAGTAGGAAAAACAACCATCCCAAGTTTCTGGACATTGTTCTAAGGGGAAACATTTACTAAGAAAATTTGTTAAATCTTGATAAGAACAGTTAAGCGTTTGTGATGAACCCCATTCCCTCAGCTCGGGGTGATGGAAGTCCTCTTCCAAGCAGGGCGGCCAACGCTTCAACAACATGCCATTTGCCACTAGCACTTACCTGCCAAGGTAAGTGGACCAATGGAACAAGAATTCAGAAGTGTAATGTTTTCCCAGATGACCTTTGTAGAATTCAGGCACCTGTGTGTTAGGAAAAAGAAGAGGTTCTCAAAGGATAAAACTCCAAAGGTTTTATATGACACTAAGATATTTTAAATCTTGCTAGGTGTTACAATGGTGCTATGGTTAAGTTGTAATAAACAAACCAAAGTCCCTATTGGTTAATGATGTACTGTAATAAACAAAGTACTTAAGAATGAATTTATATATTTTTTGATTCACTTTAAAATGCACCAAAAGAAAAGGATTGGGAAAAAAACCCAACTGGCAAAATGGTGATAATTTTCCAAACTAGGTGAATATACTGAAATTCATTACACTGATCTCTATACTTTGTGTCTGTCTGAAAATTTCACAACAAAATTTTTAAGTAGTCTTAAATTAGTAAGACCTCCCCGTCCCACCAAGAAGCACTTGTGGAAGGGAAGAATAATCATGACTGTTGTATGTTTGCCCAAAGTGAAGGCTGAAGGGTAATGAGTAAGAACTAAGGCTTATGGACTAGAGCCCTGGATATATTGCTTCATTTATATTTTTATTTTAATTTTTTTCATTTCTTCTTTGGTGCACCGTTCCTGGAGGTACTGCAATATCAGGTCGATGCCCGGAATGGACAGAGCAAGCTCCTGTTCCATCTCCCTGTTCCAAAAATCCATTTAATATATTGTCCTCGGATAGAGGACGTATCAGATATTAAACTGTTAAGAACAGATACTACAGTTGATCTTAGCCAAAAGGCCGAGAAACTATATATATATATATATATATATATATATATATATATAGCTTCATTTAATCCTCCCCTCATCCACAACTCTATATTAGTCACTTTAACCTAGGATTGCAATTAACATCATCAAAAGGGAAACCCCGGTACAGCACCCCCCCTGGTGGAGGGAGTGGGGAAGTACATGTGATCAGATGTCCTTCACCAAAAACATCTAACCTTGGAGTTTACACCTGCTGTGGGGCATTCTACCAGACATCAGGCTGGGACTCTTCAACATTGTAATATCATGAACGGATGACAAAAGAAATTAAAAATTCAGGTTTACTTCTTTAAATGAAAGAAAACTAAAGAGATAAGACATCTAAAGGCAATGGGTGAACTCTGGATCCTAGATTGAAAAAACAAAGTCCTGACAAAGACATTGTGAAGATAATTAGAAACCCTGAAAATGAACAGTGTAATAGGAGCTATTTTTTGAAAAAAATGTTCAATATTAAAACCAATTGTAAAGGGCCTCCCCGGTGGCGCAGCGGTTGAGCACTGGGTTGCGAAGCTGCCCGCGGCCTCTGCGGCGCCGGTTCGATCCTCGGCTGCTCCCCGGCCACCGGAGGAGGGTCCCACATGGCGCACAGACCTCTCCTGCCGCCCGCTGCTCCCCTCAGCAGTGTACTTCGGTCCTTCTGCCTGCTCTGCTCCCCGCTCTGGCTCTGGTGAATTCTCTCACCCTCCCGTGCTTCTGACTGTACCCAGTGCATGTATAAACAAAAAACAAACAAAACAAACAAACAAACAAATAATAAATAAATAAAAAAACATGGCTCTATAAAAAAAAATAAAACCAATTGTAAAGAGGTAAGTGGGAGGCCTGTTTTAAAGACTGGCAAACTAAGCTTCAGAGGCAAAAAGGGACTTGCCCAAGAATCCACAGCTGGTAAATGGCAAAGGCAAAATGGATGCAGAGCGCCCTGCGTGATCTCTGGGCTGGCAGATGCTTGTTCCTCCACAGCATCCCCCGGAAGCAAGAGGTAGGACTATGGGCTACAGAACTCCAAGGAAAGGGCAGAGGCTAACCATGGTGAAAAGGCGAACTCTGTTGTCATGCACCAGTAGTCATTCATTTGTTCACAATTAATTGCTGGGTGGCAATGATAAGCAAGAGCAGGCAGTTTGGGGAATTTAGGTTGCTTACAGCCTAGTGAAGGAGAAAGATGCTAATCTAATGATACAAAGACAGGTTGGAAGCACAGTAAAGGAAACTGACCAAAGTGGAGGGTGTGAAGACTTCAGGGATTTGTGCTCGGAAGGATGAACAGAAGTTAATGATGTAAAGCGAGGGAGGAGCGCATGAGAGAAATTTTTCTATGTGCAAATATGGGAAGTCCTCCCAAATCCCCAAGATCTATATTGTTAAAAAGCAAGTGCAAAACTGAGATTTCATGCTGCCGTTGTATTACTCTGTGTGTGTGTATGTGTGTGTGTGTGTGTGTGTGTATGTGTGTTGGGGGGGGTGTTATGCCTCCGTATTCAAATTTATTGTGTAGAAGAAGAAACAAAAAGGGTACAGGAAACACTAAAAACAGTACCCATAGGAAACAAGGCAGATTGAGTTGGGGAGATGAATAAGGATGAAAGGGGGACTTTTGGCTATCCAATTTTATCCATTTACTATGTGACTTTTTATACTTAATATTTTTTGAAACTTATGGAAATTGTTACCTTCAATTGTTTTTAATCTGAGAAAACTGTTTTCCAATGTTTCCTGAGTTACATACTTTACATTTTTAAATGACGCTGATTTTGCCTAGTGTGATACTTGTGCTGCAGTACTTGTGCTGCAGTGGCTGCAGATAGCTTCATAGGTTGTGCCTTAACCCCTTGCACCACCAGGGAGGCCCTTCCATACTTTTAATATATAGACTTTTTACAAGAACTGGGGTACAGGCCAGAAGAGTCGGGGGTAAGAGGATTCACCAGAGACAGAGTGGGGAACAGAACAGGCAGACTGACTGAAATACAGTGCTGAGGGGAGCAGCAGGAGAGTCAGGAGAGGTCTTCTGTGCCATGTGGGTTTCTCCCTGGCCGGGGATTGAACTCATGCTGCAGTGGCTGTGGATAGCTTCATAGGTTGCGTCTTAACCCCTTGCACCACCAGGGAGGCCCCTAATTAGCTTATTTTTTAAGATTCATCCAAGTTGTAGCATGTGTCAACATCTTGTTCCTTTTTATGGCCAAGTAATATTCCATTATAAATATATATCACCATTTGTTTAGTCATCCATTGATGGACTTCTGGGTTGTCTTCATCTTCTGGCTATTGTAAATAGCACTGCCAAGAATATTCATGTGCAAGTTTTTGTTTAGATTACTGTTTTTGATTCTTTTGGATATAAACCTAGAAGTAGAATTGCTTGTAATGCTAAAGTTTATCATTTTTTAAAAAGATTTATTTATTTTATTTATACAAGCACTGGGGATAGTCAGAAATGCGGGAGGGTGAGAGAATTCACCAGAGCCAGAGGGGAGAGCAGAGCAGGCAGACTGACGAAGTACACTGCTGAGGGGAGCAGCGGGAAGCAGGAGAGGTCTGCGCGCCATGTTGGACCCTCGTCCGGTGGCCGGGGATCAAACCGACGCTGCAGAGGCTGCAGGCAGCTTTGCAACCCAGCACTCAACTGCTGTGCCACCAGGGAGGCCCCCTAAAGTTTATCTTTTTGAGGAATCAACAAGTTGTTTTCCATAGCAGGTGGACCATTTTATATTCCCATCAGCAAGATATGAGTTCCTGTTTCTCCCCATTTTTGTCAATCTTGTTATTTTATTGTTTTTTGTCTGTTTTTATTATAGCCATCTTAGTGGACGGATACATCATTGTGGTTTTGAATTGCGTTTCTTTAATAATCAATGATGTCAGGTGTGTTTTCATGAACTTGTTGGCCACAGCAATTTTTTTTAAATGTCTGTTCAAGCATGTGCTACTTTTAATTATATCACTGGTGATGTACTTTTTAAAACAATGGTATAGTTTATATTATGATTTCTGAGAATTTTCTCTTATTATTGATGAAAACTAAAACTTCCAAGTAGGATCTCATTTTATTAGTTAAGATAATGGTAGTTACTATAACACATTCCCAAATGTTTAATTACCAGAACGCAGCTGAAGTTTCTTTCTTGCCCAAGGTCCATTGTATTTGATAAATGGCTCTTCCTACAAGCAGTAATACATACACTTAGGTTTCTTCCATTATGTGGCTCTGGCATCTTTACCTCCAGGCTTCTAAGGAGGCGCTGCCCCAGTATTTACAAGAGAGTCCAGTGAAAATACATTATGCACCAATGGCATCATTTTTTTAAATCAGAAGATTCACTTTAATAGAAAGATGAATTTGAGATAACTAGAGGAAAAATAGATATGAAGCCATCATGCCACTGACACAAAAATAAGATAAAAATCAAAATGAGAAACTAACTTGAGAGTTTCCAGGTCTCTTGAGAACTCATTTTCTTTGCCAGATTTCACATTCTTACAGCTTCATGGTCTCTTCCTTCTAACAAGTTTATCAGCAGAGAGAAGTTATCTTTCAGATGACATGCATATGTCATCTAGTGAGCAAGGCCAAAGAATGTGGTGTTTTCCAGATACAGGTGATTCAAGTTCAAAATATATGACTTCCCAAGCAGCTGGCTAGTCTTGATGACTAGTCGCTATTAAAAAGGGTAAAGTGGGCCTCCCTGGTGGCGCAAGGGGTTAAGCACCATACTATGAAGCAATCCGTAAGCCTCTGCAGCACAAGTTTGATCCCCAGCCGGTCAGGGAGAAACCCACATGGCACAGCAGACCTCTCCTGTCTCGCTCACTGCTCCCCTCAGCAGTGTATTTCAGTCGTCTCCTATTCTGCTCCCCACTCTGTCTCTGGTGAGTCCTCTCACCTGCCCCCGCCACATCTCTGGCCTGTACCTCAGCTCTTGTATGCATAAATAAATGAATCTTTAAAAAAAAATAAAATAAAAAGGGTAAAGTGACTAATAGCGGGGTGGGTGCTGAAGACCTGAGTGCTGTTCATTTCTTTTTATTTTTTAAAGATTTATTTTTATTTATTTATGCATACAAGAGCTGGCATGTTGGCCAGAGGTGCATGGGGTGGTGTAAGAGGATTCACCAGACTGAGTGGGGAGCAGCACAGGTGGTTTGACTGATATACACTGCTGAGGGGAGCAGCAGGCGAGAGAGGAGAGGTCTGCTGCGCCATGTGGGTCAACTCCCTGGCCGGGGATCCAACTGGTGCTGCAGTGGTCGCTGATAGCTTCATAGTGCTCAGACTTAACCCTTTGCGCCATCAGAGAGGCCCTCGATACTTATTTTTAAGCACAGAAACGAAGATGGTTCAAGTTAGATTAATCCCAAGTAGAGACTCTACAGAGATGCTGTAGAATAAGGAAGCTAAGAAGTTGAGATGGCAGGCAAGAATGTGCGTGTGCTGCAGTTCAAGATTCCTAAGAAATTAGTTGAGGGTGAAGATAAAGAACAAAGGTGCAATTACTGGAATAGGGGTAGGATTTATAGCTCCTAGGGTTCCAGGTGGATAAGAGGTCTTAAGATTAGGGTGTTGGTGGGGTCATTCACAGAAATGGAATTTACCATGTCACCACCCTTGTAAATGAGAGTTCACAGGAAGAGCATTAATGCAGTCTGCATTTTAAACCAGGATAGTTATCGCATGACTCAGAAAGGAGATATCCTGTAAAGACACTAAGTTAGACTCTATATTGAATAAAAGCAATTTCAAACTGGTTGTCAAGGCGGCAATGTCTTTGGGGGGATTTACAGTTAAGGCAAAAAGGTGAAGGAACTAATCTAAAGAGTTGGAAAAGGCAGAGAATTCCACATGCTGTGGAACAAGGATGGGGGGGGCGAGGACGGGAGCTCTGGAAGGAGAAAGCGTCAGGTTGGAGGAGGCTAAAAGTATGAGAATTTGGGTCTCCCTGGTGGCGCAAGGGGTAAGCCTCAGCACTATAAAGCAATCGCAGCCTCTGTAGCACGAGTTCCATCCCCAGGGGCCAGGGGTCCACCCATGTGGCAAGTCAGACCTCTCCTGTCTGCCTGCTGCTCCCCTCAGCAGTGTGTTTCAGTCAGTCTGCCTGTTCTGTTCCCCACTCTGTCTCTGGTGAGTCCTCTCACCCACCCCCCCTGGCCTGTCCCCCAGCTCTTGAGTGCATAAATAAATAAATCTTTAAAAATAAATAAATAAAAGTATGAGAATTTCCAGAGCAATATGACAACCTAGACAGAAGTACTCAGATTAGGGGGTCCCATTGTAACAGGGTGGTCCCCAGGAAAGGGGGAGGTGCTGCCCCTCTCCCTGCCCTGTACCACCCTGGCATCATATGAAACTTGTTTGTAAACTTAAATTGCTTCAAGTAGACTATGAATAAGATGTCCCGGGAATCCAGACCTCCAACTAATTCTTTCAACCTTTAGGGTACTTAAAACACAGCCCCCCACACTAATGTGCACAGTGTGTGGAGCATGCGGGTGGGCTCAAATTTCTCTCTGAGCAGAGATACGAACACACATGCCAGGCACTCGGGACATGAAGGACACGATTCTTTGAGGAAAAGTTCCAGGAACGAGCGCGCGAGCTGACACCAGGTAAAAGGAGTTTGCGTTTGTGTTTCACGAAGTGTGAAGGGGGAGGGCGCGACGCCGGGAGAGGTTAGTAGGTGTTTACAATACCTAGGGACGGTACGTCGACTTCCTGGACACTCCCCTTCGGAGCCGGCCCTGATAAAGGGCCAAGGAGGAAGATAATCCCGCCACAGCTCACCGGCCGCGGAGAGGAAGCGGAGGCCGACAGGTAACGGAAGCCCTGAAGGGCCAAAAGGCGTCGCCTCCCCCAGAGTCGAAGCCCCGGCGTGCGTCTGGGTTCGACGCCTGCGCACTGAGCCGCGCCGCGTGGCCTAGCGGCGGCGCATGCGCAATCACGGGTGGCCGGGCTTAGGCGAAGTTGACGGCAGGTGGGGACCTGAAAGGGGCGATGTGTGGCCCCACCTGCCTGTTACTCGGTAGGCGGTGCTCATGCCTAGAAAGAAAGGTGAGATCACAGGGGAGATCCCTTGTCTCTGACCTTTGTACGCTGTCTTTGTGTTTTCCTGGGACGCTTAGCTGCAGCGGTCCACCAAACAGCTGAAATTTTCTTTTTCTTTTTTTTGTTTTCCTTCTTTGATCAACATAGGTTGATTTCTTCACTCATTTAACAACTCATTTAACAGATAAAAAAGTGGGCGAGGGCCCACTTTTAAGGTGTCAATCATTTGCTTGATACATGAGATGGGCAGTGAGCAGCAGGGCTGATACTGAGGCTACTCCTGTGCCATTTATTTTCTAAAGTAGGGCAAGAAACTAAGTGAACACACATTAATTTCCACATTTACTACAATGATATAGTAAATACCATAAATTAACCAGGCTCTGTTGGGTTCCCTCTTTTCAGTAAACTTTTTTTCACTATTTTTTTACAGGCTAGACAGCCTCTGTTTCTGTAAGATCATTGACTCTGTGACTGTAAGCAAATTACTTATGCTCTCTATTTCTCATTTTATATTTTAAGAGTTATAATATTAGAAAGTAACTCATACCATTCTTGAAATTTTCTTTCAGGAATTTCAAACTTACTTGAAAGCAGCCCTACCCCTGGACTCTTTTTTTTAATCTAGAGATCCCCAGGATGTGATGGGTACTTCAGAAAGGTCATCCCTCCTTTGATTGCTATAGAAAGCCTATTATAAAGATGAGTAATGGTTAATTTGAAGAAAGAAAGGAAAAATTCATACACATGCACACACGTTCACATATACACAGAATAAACTTATAGTATATACCAGCAACTGGTCACTATTACTTCTGGGGAGAAGAAACTGGGTGGCTGAAAAATGAGCACGAGGAGTATTGTTTCGTTCAAATTTTTCAAATGTTTGAATTTCCATTCAAACATTTGATACCAAAGAAATTCAGGAATTTAAGAGAATTCAGTAATGCTAGATAGAATAATATGTACATGTGAAGACAAAAATGTCTTGTGTAAACCACCTAGTCTTCCTGTTTATTTCTGGACAGAGATCTTCCGGAGTTGGAGCAAAGGGGTACAGGAAAAGAGGAGCCAGGCAATTTTCGGAAAATTCTCAGCAGTGGTGGCATACAGGAAACTAATCATTGCCATCTTAACCTCATGAATTTGCTGAAACAAATTAAAAGGCAGTTTTCAATGGGAGCTCACATAAGTCAAAGGTTGATTGGAAGAGGACATTGATGTTTATCTTTGCAACAGAAATTAATTGGGTGTGTCAGGCCAGGTTGAGACCTGAAAGTCCTCTTCCAGGTAAGGAAAGCTTCAGTTAGTGAGGAATCTCCAGACTAATTATGGTATATTCTTTTTTTTAAGATTTATTTATTTATGCATACAAGAACTAAGATACAGGCCTGGGGGTGGGGGGAAGGTGGCTAAGAGGATTCACCAGAGACAGAGTGGGAAACAGAACAGGCAAACTGATTGAAATACACTGCTGAGGGGAGCAGGGGGCCAGACAGGAGAGGTCTGCTGCGCCATGTGGGTTAGCTTCCTGGCCAGGGATGGAACTCGTGCTCTTGTGGTTTGCTATATCTTTATAGTGCTAAGACTTAACCCCTTGTGCCACCAGGGAGGCCCTAATTATGGTATATTCTCGCCCCCAACCTTGCAAGATAACTTAAGTCTCCCTCCTCTGAGGGAAGTGGTGAGGGGGAATTTAGGCCTAAAACCGCCTAAGAGCATTTGCAGACGAAATGCTCACATTTAAAGAACATATCCAGTACCTCTCATTCCTGGGTTAACTGAACTGGTTCAACGTAGAGGCCCTGGTGAGTGGTTAGTAGATCTAGACAAGTGTAGAAATTTGGGAACAGAGGTTGGGAATCCTAATTGTTGAAAGTGTAAAGTCAAAGGTCAGATGATTATAATACTGCTTCTGACTTTGCCTTGTTTGTAAGTGAGAAGCCAGAGGTTGTGCTCCCAAACAAAATATTTTTAGGAATAGTGTTTCTTAAATAACTCCAAAAGCCATTCCATCTACAAAGAAATAAAAGATAATGCATCAACCAGACTGAGCAAGGAGCACCACCTAGGGATAGAAATTCCACACAAGGGGAAAAAAAACCACATCATAGGAGAGTGTACTTAGTAAAATTTATTTTTTAAAAAAGGAAAAAAATAATAATTTATGCCCTTGGTAAAATAAAGGATCTTCTCAATATAAATGTTTCTTAGAAAACATATGAAAAGATAATATAATATATATATATCAATAAATCAATATCAATGTTACAGCAAAAGTAATGATCCTTCAACAATGACAAGTGAGGCTATTTCAGGCCCTCACACAGCAGGATTTCTGAAACTCCTCTTATTCCTTTTTTTTTTAGTACAGATGAGCCCTCATTTTAAGAAAGCCTGATACACATTTCTAAATGTAGAGAGTTGATCTCATTTATTTGCATCACAAAATCACTATTTACAAAAAAAATCAATGAAAATGTTTGTGTAATGGATCTTTCAAATTAGCACATGGTCCTACTGCATTTAGAATATAATTAACCAAATACATGTGTCCCTAACTTCTTGTGTTATAGCTCCTTGGCATATAGCAAGGTATATTTGAAGTGAGACCGGACCATAATTGGGCTTTCAGACCTGATTGGAGAGAATAAGTTCTTACTTACAGTATGAGGAAATGTTAGGGGGTGAGGGTACAAATTCTCACAATCTTTTGTTTCTCTCATCCTGAACTCTTAACTTTCTTGTCTCAACTTGGTACCCTTAAAAAATAATAATAAAAAGAAAAAGTCATATGTGAGGGTGACAGATGAATGAATGAGTCATTCCAGCAGAGTGAGAGGAGAATCTGGGGTTCAGAGTGTAAATGTGAATGTAGCTGGCGGGGAGCAGGAGTAATTCTGAACCCTTACAAGGGCCCCTCTCCCAGTTGGGGTGTCTGATCCCCTGAGGAGCAGTAGGGCCCAGCCCAGTCCTGCCTGCAGGGGACACATCATCAGGAGAATGTCCTGGGCCTATTTATCACAGTCCTCCTGGGTCCCTTCGGCACAGTGGTAGTGCTGCTCACAGAATTCCCGGATCCGGCTACAGGCCTCCAGCATCATCACTTCGGGTACTGTGATTACCACTCGGAAGAAATTTGGGTACTCAAAGCACTGCAACAACAACAAAGTGCCTGTTATTCTTAGAGCAACTGATTCGGCACTGGACCACCCTAAAAAGGCCAGGCCCATATGAGCAAGGAGCAGTCCCTTGATTTACCCAGAGATATCGATTCACCCAGTTGCTATCATTAAGCCAATCACTGAGTTAATTCATCTGAAAAGGGACTTATGGGACAAGCTTGGTTTCCTCTCACCTAGCAAGTTTGTCCACGGCTTCCTGGTATGGATGGGACAATGATGGGGGAGAAACAAATTTTAAGTAGAGGCCATAGGCCCATCAGTTTGCATCTTCTCAAATGAGAATATGCTTTGTTGGGGGAGAAAAAGTCAGGCTAAGAACAGCTGGGAGAGTATCTGAGACCCTAGAATTGTGAAGAATGTCCTGAGAGAGGTGTGAGCACTCACTGTTGCTGGGAGGCAGTGGACAGATTGCTCAGCGATTAACCGCTCCGTGAACTCCACATCATTCTGAAATTCTGGGAAATGTTCCATCTCAATGCCAACCTATACAAATAACAGGGAGAGGCAAACTTATCAGAAGGCCTGAGGACAGGCCAAGCCCCTCTGCCAAAAATTCAATTCAGGACTGCTCTCAAACATAGCTGGGAACTCTGCCACCGAATATGATGAGTGCTAGCTTTTATGAGCTCCTGGGATTTTTCACAGGGAAGAAGGATATATTCCTGTGACTATTTTAGTTTCTTAAAGAGTTCCTTCCTAGACACTGATACATGAAAGCTGGAAATAGAATGCCAGCATTTTCCCCAAAAGGCGTTAGCATTACAGGTCAGGCAGTTCTTTCCAGTATGGAACTGCCCCACCCATTGCAAGACAGTTAGCATGCCTGGCCCTCAGAATGCCAAAAGAACACCCAGTTGTTCCAAAAACAAAGGAAATTCCTCCATGTTCCTAAACATCTCTAGGGAACCAGTATCAGTCCCAGTTGAGTACTACAATAGTTCGGAAAGCCTCTTTGTGTTATATCTTCCCCTTATCTACTTATAAAATGATTCTCTAAAGAATTAAGTCATCTTAAGAGTTTGTTAATCATGTCAGCAGGACAGCTGACAACAAGGGACTCCCTGAAGAGACTGGCCCACAGCCTCACTGATATCTCAGAGTCCTCTGACTGCCTCCCTTCGTCTCACAAGTGCCTGCCGCCCACCTACTTACCATAAGGTACATGGCCCCAGAAGGGCGGACTGGCCGGAGTCCAGGGATGGCAGCCAGCGCCCCATAGCAGAGATCAGCGTTGGACTATGAGAGAAGGCAGAGTCATGAAGGATGAAAATTTAAGTGTGAGAAATATGAAGACACTGAAAAGAGAGCCACATGGAAGACAGAGAGCCTAAGGTGGCTCTGCTGGCACAATAAGGAGTCCACAACAAAAAGACCTGTCCCCTGGAGCTTATGGCTAGGAGCACAGTGAACTGTAAGAACTGAGGCAAAGGTATGAGTGTTCTGATCCACCTCCTGATTTGGGAACCCCATGAAGGAACATTGCTCCAGAAATGAGAACCCGTTATCCCACTGGCGACTCCCAAAGCAGAAGGCCACGGGCTCTCTTACCTTGAGGAAGCTCAAAGTGTTGTGGTAGAACTCTCGAGGGGTGCGATGCAGGATGTTTTTCAAAGCACCCTGGACGATGGTGCAGGGTCCCAGGATCCGCTGACTCAGCTTCACCAGCCCGTCTCGGATCTAAGACACCCCAGCAATCACCTTATTTAGTCATTCTTTAGCAGCTGGTTTTGGGGGTTCTTGTTCTGACTGTTCTTTATATCAGGTTTTAACTCTGGGTGATGGTACCTAGTGGCATTATTAGATCAGACCACCTGGCTCTGTAGCCTGTTCTGTCATGGACCCGCTGTGTGATTCTGGGTGGATTGGATAACTTCTCTGTGCCTCATTTTTCTCAATTGGTAAAGACCAATACAGGTCTCCCGGGGTCTAGAAACTTATATTAAATAATGTATCTAAAGTGCTGGCACATCATAAGCCCCAAATATTTAAGTGTCATTATTACTATGGATTCCTTTTAGATGGTCCTGAAATTGGTGGTGGATAGTGCTTCTTCAGAGTCAGGTACAGGAAAACTGAGTTTTGGGGCAAAAAAATAACTAGTGCTATCTTTATCCAGCATCTTTCCAAGCACCCTAGATGACAAGGTCAAGAAGAAAGGCGGGGAGGGCCTCCCGGGTGGCGCAGCGGTTGAGCGCTGCGTTGCGAGGCTGCCCGCAGCCTCTGCAGCTCCGGTTCGATCCCCGGCTGCTCCCCGGCCACCTGAGGAGGGTCCCACATGGCACGCAGACCTCTCCTGCCACTCTCCTGCCACCCGCTGCTCCCCTCAGCAGTGTACTTCGGTCCTTCTGCCTGCTCTGCTCCCCACTCTGGCTCTGGTGAATTCTCTCACCCTCCCGCGCTTCTGACTGTACCCAGTGCTTGTATCAATAAATAAAAACAAATCTTTAAAAAAAAAAAGAAGAAAAGGGGAGGAAACAACAACCCTACCTCCTCACCACTGTGCATGCAAAGTAAATATCTGTGTGTTTATGTATGTATGTATACATATCCTAAATTACATATTTCACCAATTGCTCTCACCTCATTGCCAAAAATGTCTCTTCGGTCATGGATAAGGATCCAGCCCAGCC